AGACTGGGTGGGAGGGGGGCGCCTGGCTCCTAAATAAAATATATATATATATATATATTTTTTTTTTTGATAGGCAGAATCAGACAGTGAGAGAGAGAAAGGTCTTCCTTCCGTTGGTTCACCCCTTAAATGGCTGCTATGGCCGGCCGGCGCACTGCATCAATCTGAAGCCAGGAGCCAGGTGCTTCCTCCTGGTCTCCCATGCGGGTGCAGGACCCAAGCACCTGGGCCATCCTCCATTGCCCTCCTGGGCCACAGCAGAGAGCTGGACTGGAAGAGGAGCGACCGAGACAGAATCTGGCGCCCCAACTGGGACTAGAACCCGGGGTGCCGGCGCCGCAGGTGGAGGATTAGCCTAGTGAGCCTTGGTGCCGGCCTAAATAAAATAATTCTTAAAACAAAAAAAATTTTTTTTTTAATCTGAGAGGTGGAGAAAGAGAGAGAGAGAGAAGGAGAGAGAGAGAGAGAAGAGAGAGAGAATCCATTAACTGGTTCACTTCCCAAATTGTCTCCACTGTCTGGGACTGGGCAGCTGAACCCAGAAGCCTGGAACTCAATCCAGGTCCCCCTCAGTCGGGTGCAAGCACCCAAATACTTGAGCCATCACTGCTGTTTCTTAGGGCGGGTACTAGCAGGAAGCTGGAGTCAGGATTTGGAGCTGTGTATCAAACCCAGGTACTCCGATCTGGGATGTGAGCCTCTTAACCAGTCATAATTGGTGGCCAAATGCCTGTCCATAGTATCTTCTGCTCCTTTTTTTTTTTTTTTAAAGGATATATATGGTTATATTTTTAAAAACAACCAGAAAAACAGTTAAACTTGTGTATTTCAATATATATAAATTTTGACCTTCAAAAATTAACAACAAAAATTGAGTAGAGTGGTGGAGAGTAGGTAAAGTTACAGATCATAATGCAAGGATATGGATGTAGAGTTCCAGAGTAAGATTATTAGAAAACAAGTGAGAGGAAGTAAAATGTTACTGGCTACTATAGCAGGAGGCCAGTCTGAAAGAAAGGCCTGCCCATGTTGCTGGCCATTAGCAAAGGTTTTCTGTTACTTAGGTCACTCAGGAGAAACAGGAACAAGCAAGAATCTGATGGAAGGGGCAAAGTCATAGGTTCTGTTATCAGCTCTCAAAGGTAGATGGCCTAGGAGTAAGTCCAGAAAAGTACTGTGTCCACTTTAGAAGAAGAATAAAAAGGTTGTTGAGTATATTCTACACTGGGTTTAGCTAGAAAAACTGCTTCAGGCTAAGGGCTAAGGACTCCTGACTCTTGGGGTAAAGGTTGTGAAATAAACAACTCTTGACCAACTATGGGTTGCAGAAAAAACTTAACCCTTTACATCATTGTTTCTGAAAATGTGCTGCCCAGACTATCAGCAGCATAACATCATCAGGGAATCTGTTGGAAATGCAAATTTTTAGGTCCCATTCTTGAATCAGAAATAAATCATTTGGGGCTGACATTGTAGTGTAGCAGGTTAAGCCACTGCCTGCAATGCTGGCATACCATATGGGTGCCAGTTCAAGTCCTGGCTGCTCCACCTCTGATCCAGCTCCCTGCTGATACACTCACATGGGAGAAGCTCCTGGCTCCTGTCCTCAGTCTGGCCTAGCCCCAGCCATTTCGGCCATCTGGGGAGTGAACCAGTGGATGGAAGATGTCTCTCTTTCTGCCTTTCAAACAAATAAATATTAAAAAACTAATTTCTGTTTAACAAGTCCTCCAGATGATTCTGATGCATGTTAGTAATTGAGAACCACTCTTCTCTATGATAATTTTGATGATTTTATTTGAAAAGCTGAATGACAGAAAGAAAAAGAGAGAGAGACATTTTCCATCTACCAGTTTACTCTCCAAATGCCTGTAAGAGGTAGGGCTGGGCAAAGCTGAAGTCAGAAGTCAGGAATTTCTTCTGGGTCTCCTACACGGGTGGTTAGAACCCAGGCTTTTTTTTTTTTTTTTTAAGAATTATTTATTTATTATTTGAAGGGCAGAGTTGCAGAGAGGCAGATGCAGAGAGAGAGAGAGATATGGAGAAAGAGAGAGAGAGGAGTCTTCCATCCTCTGCTTCACTCCCCACATGGCCACAATGGCTGGAGCTGGGCTGATCCTAAGCCAGGAGCCAGGAACTTCTTCCCATTCTCCAATGGGTGGGACTTAGGCCATCTTCTACTGCTTTCCCAGGCTATTGCAGAGAGCTGGATTGGAAGTGGAGCAGCCAGGTCTCGAACCAATGTCCATATGGGATGCCAACACTGCAGGTGGCTGCTTTACCTGATATGCCACAGCACTGGCCCCAGAACCCAAGTTCTTGAGCCATCACCTGTTGCTTCCCAGGGTGCAAATTAACAGGAAGCTGAATGGGAAGATGTGGGACTCTGTCGGAGACACTCCAAAATGGGATGCAGGCTTCCCAAGCACCACCTTAGCCCATTCATCACAGCACTAATTCCACATATTGATCTTATTTAAAACTGATGACTGGGGGGGCTGGCATTGTGGTGCAACAGTTAAGCTGCTGCCTATGACACCTACATCCTATATGAGTTACAGTTCCTTTAGCTCTGGCCATTGCGGTCATTTTGGGAATGAACCAGTGAACAGAAGATCTCTCTCTTGTTTTAACTTTTCCTTTCAAATAAATAAAATCTTAGAAAACAAAACAAAACACAATCTGGATAATTATTGTTTGTATGCTTGAAAATTTCTATAATGACATAAAAGTTTAAAAAAATCGAAATAGGGAATATGTTTATGTGTTATTTATAAAATAGAGAGTGAATTTTTTAAAGGATTCACATATTTCAGATTTTAAAAAAATATTATTTGAAAGACAAAAAGACAGAGATTTCTCATCTGTGGTTCATTTCCATAATGCCCACAATAGCTTAGGGTGGGCCAGGCTGAAATCAGAAGCCAGGAACTCAATACTGTAGGAAATACATTTTTTAAATATTTAATATTGAATACCAAATTTAAAAATTAAGATACTAAATTTCATCAGAGACTGGTATTGTGGCACAGCAGGTTAAGCCACTGCCTGTGACACTGGTATCCCATAATGGGTGCTAGTTTGAATCCCAAGTCCCAGCTGCTCCATTTCTGATCCAGATCCCTGCTGATGCATCTAGGAGAGCAGTGAAATTTGGTCTAAGTGCTGGGGCCCCTGCCACCTCTGTGGGAGGCCTGCTTGAAGTTCCTGGCTCCTTGCAGCCATCTGGGAAGTGAACCAGTGGATGGAAGATCTCTCTTTGCCTTTCAAACATATGAATCACTATCAACAAAATATACTCCAAATTGACTGCATTAGCTCCTTATTCTCAATTAAACATTTTTTTTTTAAACATTTGTTTATTCACTTGAAAGACAGAGTTTCAGAGACTTAGAGAGAGCTTCCATCTGGTGATTCACTCCCTACATGGCCACAGTGACTGTGGCTAGGCCAGGCCAAAGCCAGGAGCTTTTTCTGGGTCTCCCAGGTGGGTGCAGGGGCCCAAGCATTTGGGCCATCTTTTGGTGTTTTTCCAGGCACATTAGCAGAGGGCTGGATGGAAAGTGGAGCAGCTGGGATTCTGGACTCAGGCCTTGGCTTAGCCGCCATACCACAGTGCCAGCCCCTGAAACCTTAAATTTCCACCTGACAATGCAGGGTGGCAATGTTTGCAAATTTAGTCTTAGGACTTAACATACAAAAAAATATATACACTCAACGTTTTGGGAAAAAGGGACTGAAGTACTTAAAACATGTCCTTAGTGAATTATATACCCTATTTAAAGATTTCTTTTTTGTCCACAAAAGCCATACACTGACCAAGGGGTCTACCCAGTCCTGAAGGGTGGAATCTAATTTTTGCGTATCCCTGCAGTGGCTGGCACACAGTACATGCGCAATAAGTACTGACTGCACGATGGGTGAATCCAGTTTAAATCTTTTCAGGAGCCCCCACTTGCTTTTCAAATGAGGTGACAGAGGGAAGGGACTTTTCTAGGAGAGCAAAATAATTTGGTTGAAGACAGCATTTAATGGCTCACGTTTTGGTGATCTGGGGATGGAAAAAAATCATTCAAATCTCAGAACTAAGACTACAAAAGGAGAAAAAAAAAGCGTATGGTCGCTGGTTATATACACCCATTATAGATAATATGTAAATAAATATCTTTTTTTTTTCTCAGATTACAGGGAAGGGCTCTGTGCAAAAGTTTCCTCGTTATGAAATCGCGGGCAAATCACTCCATGTCTGTATTTTTCAACCGAAAAAAGCGAATAATCTTTTCCTAAACACCCTCTTCCCCCAAACACACACCCCTGAGGAATGAATGAGCGAACTTTCGGAACACGCCGGTAATGCACTGAACGTTTCAGGTCAACTCGCACCCTGAGAGCCCCGTGAAAAACTCAGAGGTCCTCCAGTCCGGGGGGTCTCAGAGCCTCAGTCGTCTTCGCAACCGCACCTCGCGGGCGACGGCCGATCGCAGGGCCCGTCCGGATCGGGGCTCGACCCTCCCTAGGTCTGCAGGCCGGCGCTCCGCTGACCACGGCCAGTGGGTGGCCTCCGGTGCGCCACCGACAGGGGGGCAATTCCGCCTCTGTCCTGGGGTCCTGGAGGGACACCCTTACCTACGCGAACGAGCCAGGTTCCCCCCAGGCTTTTCCCGCCGGCAGAGGGAGGAGTTCAAGCCGGACCGCCCCAGCTTGCGAAGCCGGAAGACCCGCGCAGCCGGGGCGGGGCGGACGGCGGAGCGGGAAGCACAAGGCGCGCGCTCCCGCGAACGCAGGCGGGGGGAGGTGCCGGGGGCGCGCACGCGCGCCGGGCCGAGAGCCAGGGGGCGGGGCCTCACGCCGACAGACAGCAGGAAGAGGGCGCCCTGGAGCCGAGCCGGAGGCCGGCTGAAAGCGGGCCAAGGGTGGGTGCGAGCGCAGGGGCGGGCCCCCAGGGAGGGCGTCGACGCCGCGGGGGCGGGGTCAGGCCAAGCGGGGACGCGCTCGCGGGGTGGGGAAGGCGGGGGCGCGGCGGTGGCGGGAGCGTGCCCGGTCCCCGCCCCTGTTTCCCACTCTCCTTCCACCTCCGACCGGCCGGGGCTCGGCAGAGGCGCCGCACGTCAGTCCCCGGAGCCGCCCAGCTGCCGCTGCCTGGCCTGCTCCGCTCGCGGTGAGCCCGTCAGTTCCCGCACCGTGCGCTCCTCCAACTGGGCCATGGATGGGTAAGTGCTTGGCGGCGCGGCGGCCGTGCCGGGCTGCGCTGGCCCCGCTTCCTCCCTCGGCGCGTCCCGCCAAGGCCGGGGAGCCCGGGCGCGGCGCCGGCGGCCCGAGGAGCGGCTCCGGCCGGGCTCGACGGCGGGGCTTCCGGGCGCCTCGGTGGGGGGACCTCCGAGTCGCGGAGGCGCCGTGCGCCGCAGCCGCTCCTTCCTGCACGCGGCGGCCCCGCGGCGTCCGCCCCTTCACACCCGCAACAGCGCACACCCCGGGAAGCGAAGGGGAACCCGGTGCAGCCGCCGGGGGGCCGGGTCCGCCCTTCGCGCTCCGAGTCCCGGGAGCCTGGCCGGCCGGCCGGCCTCCCGACACTTCCTCTCAAAAAATGGTGCGCGGCGCCGGGGGAGGCGGAGGCGGCGCTCGGGGCGGGCGCCGGTCCTGCCGCGCTCCGGTCCTGCCGCCTGGGGAGTTGCTGTTTACCGGCGAGGTGGGGCGAGTGCCGGCGCTCTCCCCGGCGGCGAGGCGAGCGGCGAGCGCGCGCGTCCGGACACGTCTGGGCGGCGACCGGGTGCCGAACCCCGGCCCGGCGCGGGGAGGCTCGGGGCCGCCGGGCACTGGCCCAGGTCCCCCGACCCGGGCTGTGGGGATACGGTAGTCATTTCTGGGTACCTAGCGTCTGGTACCGCGACCTGGTGGCCGTGGACCCTTCCCCGTCGCGCCCCCACCCCTGAGAAACTTCCTGATCGCGCTGTCCTGTGTGTGTGAAAAACACTGTGAAAGTGTCATTTTTCAGGCAGCTTTCAGAGGCTCAAAAATGGATTAGGTCCTCGACCTTTAAAATAATAACAAAAATTTGGAATCACCTGCACTGTAAAACAGTTTCTCTGGGGACTCGGGGTGTAGGGTGGGACCTGACATGTTAATTATTAGGAAAAAAAACTAGGATTTTGGTAAATTAATTGAAGGTTCGTAGTATGTGCATCAGGATTTAGAAAAGTCCCAGCTCTGGCCGAGTTAGAGGTTGCGAATCCATTTATTTATTCCATTTTACACTTGAGGTTTTGTTTGGCCTGTTACCTACTTTGGATGATAAGGTTTCTATAAGCCCCTTGCTTGTGGAAGATGCGGGACTAGCTTGGACAGTGAAAGCCACTTACATGTTGCCATGCATGATGGTTGTTGTCGTGCTGTGTAAAGACGATGGAATCTTCCAACAATTTTTGTCCTCATAAGATTTCATTTATCTTAGTTTCACAATACGAAATGTGTGATACTAGGGAATAACTCATTTGAATCCAGATTGCACGCTCTTAAAGACATCAAATTACAATTTTAGAATTTATGGTTGTGATCATCTTTAAAGTATTGCTTTTTATGTAGATGGAAATGCTTTATTGTCTAGTTGAAGCTCTCTGCGAACACTGTGGAAGATTTAGGTCTATTTCACATTACCTTACTCAGTTACATTTTGTGTATGTGCAAGATTTTGCTGTTTCAATGATTTGTGTCATTATGCCAGTTTTCAGTCCAGGAAGGCCATGAAATTATTGTTTTGGTATTTGTAGGGAATTGTGGCTAGAAGGTTTGACTTTATTTAGGGAAGCAAGCTAGCTTTTCCTGTCCTAAAATTTATAGTTATAATAAAGAAAAGTTTTATAATAAAAACAACTTTTGGAACTTCTTTGTTAAGCTCTTGAACAACTGAGCAGTGCCAGCTTATTCTTTGGCTAGTGTTTAAAAAGTTTGTGGTTTTGAAGTGAAGAATGAGTTTATTGGTCTAAATATGGAGGGTAGTGACACAGATAGTGGAAGGTAAGTTCATTAGGTAGCTCAAGTAGGAGCATGATTGGCCGCCTGTGTCAGGACTAGTAACCATAGGTATTGCACAGTTTTACTTTCAAGTTTCAAAGGTCTAGAAGGAAAAACAAAATCAACATAGTTATTGTTTAAAACAAATTACATGGCTTAACAGTCCACCCAGAGTCATATATTTGTTTACTTTTATGAAGTGATGATGACATTGTAGGTTATTAACAGAGTGTGGAATTGACTTCTACTTTCTTTTAGCAGATAGGGAGGTAAAGTATTGATTGAAGACATAGAAGAGATACATTTTTGTATGGCAGAACTTTATAATAGGAGTTTTTACACTCTGGTCTTGAAAGATATGGTGTTGAATACAGTGAATTTTTGCCTTTTGGAGGTTAATTAAATTTCTCTATTTTCCCACAACCTGAAAAGTTATCTTTCCCTTATGTTGGGTAGTTTAAAAACAAACAAACCACCAGGCAACATAGTCTTCTTTTTAGTTCCTCTTCAAATTCCAGCTGCCTTTTGTGTGTGTGTATGTGCTCATTTCCCGCTAAGAGATAATTTGAACTTAAGCACAGTTTTGACATGGTAGAATTTTCTAAAAGGCAAATCGTTTCTCTGAAAATTTTGATGTCTGAAACTTGATGTTCATATTTATTTTAGCTCTCAGAGATTGACTTAAGTATATTTTGGTGCGCAATCATGGTTGGGAAATGGCCGATTCGCAAAATATCTTAGACTTCTGTAAAATCCAAGCACTAGTTTTGTTTCATTTAAAATTTTAGACATGATCATTCATACCAGTGATTTAAAAGAACGTAGTAACTTTAAGTTTTGGTTTGAGTTTGTTAAGTAAAGGTAAATGAGTAAACACATAATCATTTTGTTGAAGCACAATTACACTTTTCTAAATAGTGAGGTGATTTCTTATATTGTTGCCCAGTCTTTGCTTTTATACTCTGCTGTTGCTAGACTGTCCCATCATTTTTCTTTGTATTAACATTTCATAACTCATCACATTCTTATTTTTATTATTTGTTATTGTAATGCTTTTTCTTTTTTCTTTAATCTTATTATCTCTGTCTTTTAAAAACTTGTTCTCTAACTTTGTTTTCCATTTTCTCTTTTTACTTTTTCCATACAGTGTTGTTACAGATCTTATAGCAGTCGGTTTAAAGGTAGGAATCTTTTACTCTCCTTTCATAAGCATTTTTATATCTTAGTTTTTTGCATTTTTTCCAATGGTGAAATCATCTCACCTGTTCATAGAATTATCTGTTTATTTGTATGGTGATGACTTTTTATTTTTATTTAGCTCCAACGTGAGTAGATCTGTAGTTTGCATTTTATATATTTATAAGGAGGAACTATGTTATTATTTATGAAATACGAAGAAAGGGCAGCTCAAAGAAACATGGACTAACAAGAAGTTTTTTGTTTTTGTTTTGTTTTAGCAGTTAAATGTAAACTACACTCTGATTTTCTTCATATCTTGTTCTTTTATCCTCTTTCATGATTGTGCTTGCAAGTAATAAAATAATAATAGCAGTTGATACTTATTTTTTCATTACTTACTGTGTGCCAGGTGCTTTACCTGTGTTTTCATTAGTAATTATAGTAATCCTTCAAGGTAGGTAATTAATATTCTTGTTTTAGAGATTTAAAAAATGAGTTGCGAAAGTCTGTGTCCATTTACAGTGTACTGCTGTTCCACTCCTATCTTCCTGATTGCAAAATCTGAGCATTTTTGTTAGTAGCCACCATCAGTGAAGGTCCTACCTAAAAGGCTAGAAAACTGGATAATTAATATTTTACGTTGATGATTTTTCTGAGTTATAGATCATTTTGGTTTTATCAACACCTCACTGTATTTTATAAGTAATTTCATCAGTATACCGCTTTTAAGACATCAGTGGGCATTAAAGTTTTTCTTTAGTAATTTGGTATTTAATATAGTTGAGACTCTAGTTCTCTAAGACACTTACATATTTAGATTATTGTAGAAAAAAAGAAATAGTTCATCTTTGTATTATGTGTGTTAAATAGCCCGTGTGTAAGTACCTGTAGGGGAAGAAATACTTAAAGGGAATTGTTTTGATTTTATTAAAAATGTAACTTGTGATTCTAGAATTTTATTTGGCAAAAATGAACACAGGAGACATTTACAAAACCTAACCGTTTAGGAGTTAAGAAATTATGCTTGAATCTCAGACTGTCATGTTGTTGTGGGGAAAATTACATCTTGATGTTTAATGAAAGAAAATTTAAATGTTAGGTACAGGAGTCATATTTGAATATAGGACTTGACTTTCTGGCTCCAAAGTGCAGAAAACAAAAACTAAATCCTCGGGTAGGTGTTGTGGCGCAGCAAGTTAGGCCACTGTTTGGAATGCCTGCATCCCGCATCATTGTACTGGTTCAAGCTCTTTTGGTTTTTTGGCTCAAGCTTTTGATCCAGCATTCCTGCTAATGCACTGTGGGAGGCAGCAGATCTTGGCTCAGGTGATTGGCCCTTGAACCCACTTAGGAGACTCTGATGGAGTTCCAGGCTCCTGACTTCTGCCTGGCTCAGCCCTGGCTGTTGCCTCCACTGGGGGAGAGAAATAGAGGTTGGAAGATCTTGTGTATGTCTGACTGCCTCTCTGTTGTTTCAAGTAGATGAAGTGAAATAAATATTAAAGAAAGATCAGATCACAATAGAGAACATGAACTGATCAGTTAAAAAATCTTTATAGATTTAAGTATTGGAAAGGTACTTTGAAATTATTCATATAGAATTTCTCATAAAATAAGTTTTAATCGGTTTTTCTTGAATACTATCTGAGGAAGTTTAATTACCAAATAATAGGCCAATAAGACTCATTGCATCTTTATTTTTTTTTTTAAGATTTATTTATTTGAAAGAGTTACAGAGAGAGGTAGAGCCAGAGAGAGAGATGAGCATGAGGTCTTCCATCTGCTAGTTCACTCCACAAATGACCTTAATGGCCAGAGCTGAGCTGATCCAAAGCCAGGAGCCAAGAGCTTCTTCTGGGTCTTCCATGTGGGTACAGGATCCCAAGGACTTGGGTCAGCTTCTACTTTCCCAGGCCGTAGCAGAGAGCTGGATTGGAAGCGGAGCAGCCAGGATTCAAACCGGCGCCCATATGAGTTGCTGCAGGCCAGGGTTTTAACCCTGGGCTACACTCTAGCCCCAACTCATCACATCTTGATTATTTGAAAGATAAGCCAATAGTTAATCCCTCTGCTGTCTGAATATGATGACAGAACAAATGATTTTAGCCAGTGGCAAGTGTTGGTTTCACATTATGCTTCATAGGTTAACTTTGTATTTAGAAAAGCGATGTGGACTTTTTTCTTAAAGAAATGAAAATATTCTTAAATATAAAATCTGTTATTTTAAGGGAAGAAAACAGTTGCTTCGAGAGATTTAAGTGATTCACTCTATGTCATGAGGTCAGGAATTTTTGGTATTTTCTTCAATACTGTGTTTCTAGTGCCTGGCACATAATCTCAAAAATATTTGATGAATGAAATGAATGTCAGCTTGTCATGCAGCTAATTACGTGTCAGATTTATACTGGAACGTAAACCTTCTAATTTTGCTAATGTTTCTTCTGTTAGGTATATACCATAGTGAGAAAGATTTAATTTCAGTTTTTAGACTGGAATTTTCTTAAAGACAGGAACATTTTCAGGCAGTTCAGGGCCATACCATGTTTTACTTAGGTGTATACTTTGTATCTTCTAAGTGGAATATAAATTTTTGAGCCTGACCTCAATTAAGAAAATTAGTGTTTGGTACTTCTCATGAAATATTTTATTTTTCATGTTTACATTTTGAAATGCTTATTGAGAAACAATGAGAAGTAACTGCTGTCCTTAATTTTTAATTCCTCTGAATGAAGAACCAAACGGGTGATTATGAATGACACCATACATATTTCAAGAATTGTTATACCAGATAAATCAAAGTATCAGCATTGTAACAGCTTTTTGTGCTTGTACTTTGATGTATTTTTTATGTTTAGCCTATACTTTATTAATAGCTGGTTCATCTTAAACTCAGATGGTTCCCATATTCCTGGTTGCTTTTTCAAAATACCATAGTAGCTATTAAAATAAACTATTTTTTGAGTCATAGCCTTCTATATTAAATATTTTAGTCTTCATCCTATTGAGAAATACATGTGTTTTAAGAAGGACCATAATTGGCTTCCAGTAATTACCATGCTTGAAACTATATAGGAACAGACAATACAGCATGTTTCAGTAGTTTTGAAAATAGTCTTCTATTTGATTGAACAGAGGTTAGCAAACTACAGCCCTTGGGCCAAATCCAGCTTGCCACCTGTTTTTGTAAATAGTTCAATTGGAACACAACTATGCTCATTTGTTTTTAGTAGCTACTTTTATACTAAAATGGCAGAATTGAGCAGTTTTGTTTTGTTTTTTTAAGATTTATTTTATTTGGCCGGCGCTGCGGCTCAATAGGCTAATCCTCCACCTTGCGGCGCCGGCACACTGGGTTTTAGTCCTGGTCAGGGCACCGGATTCTGTCCCAGTTGCCCCTCTTCCAGGCCAGCTCTCTGCTGTGGCCCGGGAGTGCAATGTAGGATGGCCCAAGTGCTTGGGCCCTGCACCCCATGGGAGACCAGGAGAAGCACCTGGCTCCTGCCATTGGATCAGTGCGGCGCACCGGCCACGGCAGCCATTGGAGGGTGAACCAACGGCAAAGGAAGACCTTTCTCTCTGTCTCTCTCTTACTGTCCACTCTGCCTGTCAAAAAAAAAAAAAAAAAAAAAAAAAAAGATTTATTTTATTTAATTGAAAGAGTTACAGAGAGAGAGGTCTTCCATCTGCTGGTTCACTCCCCAGATGGCCACAATGGCTGGAGCTACGCCTATCTGAAGCCAGGAGCCAGGAACTTCTTCCAGGTCTCCCACGTGGGTGCAGTCCTTGGGCCAAATAGCACTGCTTTCCCAGGCCATAATAGAGAGCTGGATCAGAAGAGGAGCAGCTGAGACTGGAACCAGCGCCCATATGGGATGCTGGCGCTTCAGTTCTGGGCTTTAACCAGCTCTGCCAGTGCTGGCCCCAGAGTTGAGCAGTTGTAGCCAAGATTATGAAGCCAAAACATTTACCCTCTGGCGCTTTACAGAAACAGTTTAATATTGTGCTTGCATTTTAGGAAATACTGAAGGCCTTCACTGCAGATTTTTTTTTATTTTTTATTATTTTTTAAAATTTATTTATTTTGGGGCTGGTGCTGTGGTGCAGCAGGTTAAAGCCTGAGCCTGTAGTGCTGGCATCCCATATGGGTACCAGTTTGAGTCCCAGCTGCTCTACTTCCAGTCCAGCTCCCTGCTAATGCTCCTGAGAAAGCAGCAGCGGATGGCTCAAGTGCTTGGGCCCCTGCACCCACATGGGAGACCCTAAAGAGGCTCCTGGTTTTGGATCAGCTCAGCACTGGCCGTTGTGGCCATTTGGGGAGTGAACCAGTGGATGGAAGACATCTTTCTGTCTCTTATTCCCTCTGTGGCAGTAGTGGATGAGAGAGAGCTTCCATCCTCTGGTTCATCCACCAAATAGCTGCAAAGGCTAGAGCTGAGTCAGATGGAAGCCAGGAACCAGGAGCTTCTGGGTCCCACATGGCTATAGGGGCCCAAGCATTTGGATCATTTCTGCTGCCTTCCCAGGCTCATTAGCAGGGAGCTGGATTGGAAGTAGAACAACTAGGACTCCTAACCATCACCGCTGTGGGATGCTGGTGTTGCAGGCACTTAACCTGCCATGCCACAGCACTGGCCCCTGCAGATTCTTTTTTTAAAGATTTATTTGAAAGACAGAGTTACAGAGAGAAGTATAGGCAGAGAGGTCTTCCATCCACTGGTTCACTCTCCCAATGGCCACAGCGGCCAAAGCTGCGCCAATCCAAAGACTTGGGCCATCTTCTACTGCTTTCCCAGGCCATAGCAGAGAGCTTGATTGGAAGAGGAGCAGCCGGGACTAGAACTGGCGCCATTTGGGATGCTGGCGCTTCAGGCCAGGGGTTTAACCCGCTGTGCCACAGTGCCAGCCCCTGCAGATTGTTTTTATAGTGTGAAATGTGCAGGTCTTTAGGGAGCAGTTTGATACATTTTTTTTTCCTTTTTATTTATTTGAAATGCAGAGCGAC